TTCGGGGACCATTGGCTTGGTAAATCTTCTTCCAGCCTTTCATCTTAAGCCTATGCTTATTTCTGTCAGTGAGATGGGTCTCCTGTAAGCAACAAATTGTTGGATCTTCCTTTTTAATCCAGTTCATCAAACAGTGCCTTTTGATGGGTGAATTAAGTCCATTAACATTAAGCGTTAGTACTGATAGGTATGTGGTAATTCCTGTCATTTAGTTGTCTTAGTTGTTTGAAGGTTTGATTGTGTGCACCTAAGTTGAGGTTACTGTCTACTTTCTTGCTTTTTCTTATCCTGTAGTTTGGTGCTGCCTGTCCTTTCATGGCTATGTTGGGTTTCACTTTCTATGTGCAGAAACCCTTGAAGAATCTTTTGTAGTGGTGACATTGTGGTCACATATTGTTTTAGTTTCTGCTTATCATGGAAGACTTTTATTGCTCCATCTATTTTGAATGATAGTTTTGCTGGGTAGAGTATCCTGGGGTTGAAGTTATTTTCATTCAGTGGCCAGAAGATCTCACCCCACACTCTTCTTGCTTTTAATGTTTCTGTTGAGAAGTCTGCTGTGATTTTGATGGGTTTACCTTTGTATGTTACTTGTTTTTTCTCTCTTACAGCCTTCAATATTCTTTCCTTAGTTTCTGAACTTGTTGTTTTAATGATTTTATGTTGTGGGGTAGTTCTATTTTGATCTGGTCTGTTTGGTGTTCTGGAGGCCTCTTGCATCTGTATGGGAATATCTTTCTCTAGATTTGTGAAATTTTCTGTTATTATTTTGTTGAATATATTATGCATTCCCTTCGCTTGTACCTCTTCTCCTTCTTCCATGCCCATGATTCTCAAGTTTGGTCTTTTGATGGAGTCGGTGAGTTCTTGCATTTTCTTTTCACAGGTTTTGAGTTGTTTAATTAATAGTTCTTTGGTTTTTCCTTTAATTACCATTTCATCTTCAAGTTCTGAGATTCTGTCTTCTGTTTGTTCTGTTCTGCTGGATGGCCTTCCATTTTGTTTTGCAGTTCTGTTTCGTTCTTTTTTCTGAGGTTTTCCATATCCTGGGTCATTTCCTCTTTAATGTTGTCTATTTTTGTCCTGAGTTCATTTATCTCTTTATTAATCGTTCTCTATTTCACTTTGGTGTTTATACAGTGCTTCTATGGTTTACTTTATTTCTTCTTTTGCTTTTTCAAATTCTCTATTTTTGTTGTCTTGGAATTTCTTGAGTGTCTCCTGTACCTTTTGGTTGACCATATCCAGTATGGTCTCTATAAAATTCTCATTGAGTACCTGTAGTATTTCTTCTTTTAGATTATTCTTGTGGGCTTCATTGGGTTCTTTGGCATAGTTTATCTTCATTTTGTTGGAGTCTGGATCTGAGTATCTGTTTTCTTCATTTCCCTCTGGTTCCTGTACTAATTTTTTGCTGTGGGGAAACTGGTTTCCCTATTTTTCCTGTTTTCCTGTCATTGCCCTTGGTGTTGTTATTGTCCCTGTACTGTGTGAAATTAAGTATTTTCCTGCTTGTAATAATAGCACTAGTGATATTTAGAATGGAAGGGTGAGAGGGGTGGAAAGCAAAGAAGTTAAAGGAAAAGGGAAAAACAAATAAACAAGTAGAAAAAAAACAAAATAAAGAAACAAACAAAAAAGGCTCAAAGATATAAACAGGGAGAGATAGTGTACTAATCAACCATAAGCTGAAAAGGCATTAGAGAGACAGAGAGTTGGATTGAAAATAAAAAATAAAAAGAATAAAGATAAGAATAAAAATAAAAAATAAGTAAATGAAAGAAAAAAAAATATAAAAAATCTACAAGTTCAAATGCAATGAAGTTTCAGTCTTTATAATTTTGGTGTTCATCCCTCAGCCTCCAGTCCTGGAGATGGTGCCTCAGATGTTGTTCTGTAGTTGTCTCATCAAAGGGGAAAAATAAAATAGAACAAAACCACACAAAATAAAACAAACAAGCAAACAAACAAAAAACCCACAAAGTGTCCCATGTTCATATGCAATATAGTTTCAGTAAGTTTTTCAGCATGCAGGTGTAGTTCGGTTGTTTTCTCATCAAAGGTAGGGAGAGAGAAAAAAAAGAGTCTGGAGACAGGTCTGTCAATGGCTATCTGAGGCTGTGGCTTGCCTGCTCGCTGCTGTCAGCCTGCTGTTACTGGAGGAATTATTTATGCAGATCTCAGGGGTGAGCTTAGTACTCACCTGGCCCCACAGGCTCTGTTTACTCAGAGTTCTCCTGTGCCTGAGCTGCTGCTACAAGCTTTCCCCTTTCCAAGCACACTGGGGGAGGTGACACTGCACCCGCTTTCTCAGGCCTGCGTGTTTGTTTACAGCTCATGTGGGAAGTGTGTCTTCCCCCTTCTCCTGTGGAGTTTTCCTCCTCTGCCACTCTCACAAGCTTTCCCGCTCCTGGTTGCTGGGAGTGCGCCCCTGCTCCCACCCTCTCCAGCGAGGCCCGGCTTGTTTATTTACAGTTCCCGGAGGGATTCCCCTCCCCCACCATTTGGTGCTCAGGGCACCCCACTGTCTTTGCTACATGTCTTTATTTTTCTTATTGCTTATTACTCAGTTTCTCTTTTTTTCCCTGGGTGGGGGTCGGTCTGTCCAGGGGGCTATGCTGATCTGGCCCAGGGTTGTCTGTGGGAGTACTGCGTACCACTTAGCTCACCTTGTGGTCCACGTCTTCCCAAGCCGTCTGGGCACGGGCATCTGGTGGTGGCCTGGGGGCCCTCCTGGTTTCTCTTTTCAATGTGAAATGGAGATGCTTTGCGCAGGCTGGAGGTGTGGAGTGGTCAAAGTTTTGCCTCTTCTTGGTGGCCTTGCCTGCAAGGTGTGTCTCCAGCGTCTCTCCAAGATTTCACTTTAGGAGGCAGCTTTCTGCTTCCTCCCTCTAGCCGCCATCTTGGAATCCTCAATTTATTCCTCAAAGGCAATCATCGTGACCATCAAAAAAATGCTGCACAATGTCCAGAATGCCCCTACACGGTGAGACCCGCCTACTGAGAACCCATGCTGTGGACACCGGAAATAGAATGGAAATCTGGGGCAAATGTGGGAGAAGTTTAAGCCATGGAATCAGTAGGGCCTGAGGAGTAAAGAGAAGGGACAGTCTATAATGTTGCTCTGACTCCTGGCTTTGGAGGCTGGGGAGCTGTGGATCCTTTAACACAGTAGACACAGGATTGGGTTGTAGGAGGTGAGGAGCTTGGTTCTTGTTTTTTTAATCGAAGCTTCTCTGAGGCACTGCCAGTTAAGATGAAGTGAATTGCAACTCTGGGCCTGAGGAGGGCCAGGCTACTCAGTGTGTAGATTCAGGAGTCACTGGTAAACGGATAGTAGTGAATGAGTTCCCAGGGCTGGTGGAAGAGTGGGAAGATCAGAGGGTTGACCCCAGGTGAACTGTGCATGAGACAGTGTGGAGTTGAGGGCTTTTCATTCAATGCACATCTCCTGCTATTTTTCTCTATGTCAGGCCTGTTCCAGCAAAACCCAGACAGGCCTGAGGTGGCACTTGTCTCTGACCTTCCCACAGAACCCTCAATTCTAGACATCCTGTCAGTATGGTTAGGTTCCCAGTTCTCAACAAATTACTCTGAGGATTCCATGTGTATTCTTCAGTTCTTGGCCACTTTACCCCAGCAGATGCCAGACACCTACATGTTAGCCTGGTAATAACAGACTGCAGAGCACAACTTATAAAATACTTTCCATATGCTCTTTTAAAATTTATTCCTCACACCAGTCCTGGGAGTTAGAAATCATTATTCCCATATTAAGGATGACAAGACTCAAAGATGGTTGTCTAATGCCATCCGGTCTTGGGTGATAGAAATGGGACTCAAATTCCACACCCTGTTAACTGCACACGTCACCACCTCTCCACATGTCACCATTTCCCCCCCACACCAGACAAACAATTAACTAGACTTTATGGAACTGTATCCATTCAAGTGGGATGAAAAAGACCACCTCACTCTTGCGGATGACCAGAAACCAGGTCAGCATGCCACCTCCCTCTAGGAAGGGGCATGGCAGGGCTTCCATTTGTATGAAAGTCAAAAACAAACAAAAACCAACAGAATATCTCTTACTGGTGTTTCCATTTGTGGCAAAACTACAAAGAATAGTAAGGCATTGATTAACATAAAATCAGGACGAAGGCTCTAGGGACCGCCAGGAAGGGAAATGCCAGGCCTCGAGGGTGCTGGTGATATTCTGTTTCTCAGGCCAGGTACCTGGGCTTGTGTGAATCCTAAAACCAAATATGTGGATGGTATGTTTGCATATAAACCTGCAAAAAAGAAACAGCTGAACTGCTGCCTAGGAAGTGATACGGTATTTGCAGAAGTGGAGCAGAAAGGGGAAAGAAAGTAAAGAAGGCCAGAGGCTGGGATTCTGATATGAAACATGGTGGTCAGGGAAGGAAAACAGAGCTGGTGTCTATAGCCCAGATTCTAGAGTCAGACAGATGTGCAGAGCCTAAGGTATCTCTTAGAAGCCAGTAGGTAGGATCTATGTAATGTCTTAAGGCTTCAATTTTCTAAGCTATGAAACAGAAACAAAAATAGATTCATCCTAAGGTTGTCAAAGGCATTAAGTGACATAAAATACATCGCACCCAGTGTGGTGTCAGCCACCTAATTCCTGCTCTTCCTTTCCTTTTTCACCATACCTTTCCCTCCCTCCATACCCGCAACTTCCTCCTGCACAGCTCAGGCTAAAATCAGCCCCACTGCCCTTCTTCCTGTTGAGTTATTTATAAATAACTCTGGCCACCTGGGAGCTGCAGAAAAGGAAGGCTGTTGCCCAGGGTTTGGACACTGGGCCTGTGGTGACAGACTCCTGTGGCCTGTGAATGGTGGTCTAAACAGTTCATGCCCTGGATACCTTCTTCCATTGCTGCAGGAATTTTCAGCCCCGGCCTCGGAGTTTGCTGTCAGCTGATGGAAAAGTCTTCCTCAATTTATGGTTCATACCCCATCCTTCTGAAGTGCTGATTATGTTCAAAACTCTGCCAGAAAAGGTTTGTACTTTTTTGTGTATATCACAATGAAAACTGGCTGTTTTCTGTATCTCATAGTTGAAACACATCAACTTGAGAAAACATCTCTCTCTTTTTTTCCAGAGATGTCCAGTAACTGTACTCTTCACAGTTCTTAATCCTTTCACCTGTTTTATTATAATTTTTCTTGGGCCTCATTATTTCTGAGTTCTGTTTCTCTCTGGTCAGTAACGAACACTAATATGGTCTTCCCACATTCCTTATTAATCCTCGCTTCCCTGCCAAACCCTTCAGTGAAATCCTATCTTGATGCCCTGATGCTAATGACAGGTAGAGGTCACACTTGCAACTCAGCTGGTGACTGGGTTTAGGGTTTTTGGCTTTGCATTTTTGTTTTAGACAGGGTCTTACTATGTAGGCCAGGCTGGCCCAGAACTTAAAATCCCCCTGCCGAAGCCTCCCTATTTCTGAAATTATAAGTATGCACCACATATCTAGCTACTGATTTTTGAGGAGCTGTTCTATATACTTAACTTACTGATAGAGAATAATATTGATAAGCATAAAAAAGTAGGCATAAAATATGTAAGTTTTTTTTTTTCAGGCTTTGAACTCAGGGCCCTGTGCTTGCTCAGCAGGCACACTAACACTTAAGCCACACCCCTAGCTCTAGCATTTGTTAAATAAAAATGCAATGTTGAATATGGCATTTGGGGACTATTCTGATTTTTTCTGTGAGAATCTGTTCAGTGATAAACATCCATGCCTTACTTACAGGTATTCATTCAGGACATGTGACTGAACTGCCTCCCTGCTATGTGTGTTTATGACCCTTGTAATTCATTCGTGGTCATACAAACACATTTGATGTATTCATGGCCACCTGTGTCCCTAAGTAAACAAAACACATTGTATTAACACTCTGCAGGATGTTAATACTGCATCCAAAAGCATGACCAAGTTCACAAATGAGTTTGTTGTTTTCTTTGTCAGATGCTATCTGTGTACACTGTGAAAATGTGTGTTTAAATACAGTCAGCCCTCTCTGTACCACAGTTCTGTATCCATAGAGTCAACCAACCACTGATCAAAAATATTTGAGAAAACAATTGCATCTGCACTAAACATTTACAGACTCTTCCTTTCTTGTTATTATACCCTAAGCAATACACTACACCAATATTTACATAGCATTTATATTGTATTAGGTATTATAAGTAGTCTAAAGATGATTTAAAGTTTACAGGAGGATGTGCGTAGGTCATATGCAAATACTGCTCCCTTTTATGTAAGGCACTTGTGCATCTGCACATCATGCTACCAACAGGGGTCCTGAAACCAATCCCCAATACTTCAAAATAAAAAGATATTATCCCTAATCTGCTCAAATGCTTTATTTGCCTCTTAGAAACATACTAAAATTTATTTCCTTGTGTTGATTTTGCCCACAGGCAGCTTTTAGAGCCTTAAAGCTAACTCTACAGCTGATAGCCTCTCTCCACGACATCGTGGCCTATCTTTTCAGTTTTGCTAAACTTGGCAATTGTCCAACATGCTTTGACTTTCCTCTGAGTCCTAATCCTTTGAGAGCTGACTGGGGAGGAACTGAGGGCATTGGTAAGTGATTCACAATAATTAAAGTCACCTTTCATCTTCCGTTGAAATTCTGTGAAGCTCTTACAGTTAGAAAGCCAGAACTATAATATTCCCCCATCAATGACAGTGATAAGAAGGGCAAAGGAGAAGTCCCTTCAGATACTGTTGCCAGCAGGCTGGAGCCTTTGATCAGAAGACTTCCAAATTATTTGTGTGCCACAGGGAAGAATCCATGGCAGGACACCATGGCAGGACGCATGGGTGTAAATGGAGTTTGTTAAAAGTTAGGGAAGGGAAATACAAAGAGTGGGCGCAGGTGGAGTCTGCTGGCAGAGAGAGCCTGCTTCCCTTCTCCAGGTGCTTTTAAAACTTACACTGACCTATGGGAAGGGAGGACCAGGTGATTTCCATCCGATAATCAATGAGTGGGGAGGGCATGGGTGGTTCCTGGCCAGGTGAGGGTGGTCCCTGAGCCAAAGCATGGTTACTCTGAAATGTAATGTTTTTCTACGAGTCCCGAACTTTCCCTAATCCTAGCCTGCCTCAATACTGTCTCTTAATATCATGTTTACTTCAATGACTTCTCATTTATAGACTAAAATACAAAGGGCACTGAGTCAGTAGTCAGAAGACCCAGGTTTGACCCCTGCCACTGCCCCTTGGTTACTAGATGCTAGACACTTTACTTCCTGGGCCTCTGTCCATCTGTAAAATGGGGGTGCTAATACCTGTCTCATAGAGATGTTCTCTGAATTGAAACCTATATAAGCATTGTAGCAGGGTATACAAGGCTGTACTAAAGATTAGCTTTCTTTTGTTCTCTTTTTCTTCCTGGTCTTTGTGGACTCTCATGCAAGGTCTGAGTCAAGCCCTCACTGTTAAGAAGCTTGCAGACAGCCCCAGTTAGCTAGCAACACCTTAAAGTCCTGTAATAAGAATGATCGAGGCTTTAGTTTCCTGTCCCGTGCTAATCAGTGAATGCTAACTCAGCACCAGATTTTAAGAAATAGAATATCTTAATATCTTATGGTATTAATAAAATAATAACTACTATCCTCAATAAGATACTTTAGTATTAACAAGATACCACTTATATGTAGTAAGTGGGGTTTATCAGAAGCAGAGAAATTCATCTTATTTTAATAATTTGACTCCCATTCAAAAAGTCACTAGTCATGTAACTATTAATCAATAGCAAAATTTTGTGACCTAGGAGCCAGGGATTCGAAAGTAGGAGATGGGCCTACGAAGTGAGGTAATCAGCCTATTTAAACCTAATGATTTTAAAACAAATGTGATGTGATCTGAGTCTACTCCCTTCTGGACAGTGCATAAAGGAAAGGTACTTGTGGGAGACCCGAAGGTCTGCATTGTGCTAACAGACACTGAAGGACTCTAAACCTTCAGCGCAGGAAGAGGGGAAGGGCAGGACTGGTGATGTGGGAGGAAGATGGAGGCCTGGCAAGGGAGGAAGCACAAAGAGGGGTGGCTCAGTGCCACCTCAGCAGAAAGCACAGAGCTTTTGCAGACTGATGAGATCTCGAAAAGACCAGCAAGTCTTCAAGATGTGCATCAAAATATGGAGAAGTGTCAAAGCACCCACAGATCCTTTCCTTTCACTAATCTGGAGACTGTTGGGATTTACTCGGAAAATGCACTAAAGCACTCCCAGAGGAGCTGCTGGGTGCTGGGCTTCTGATACGGGACAGGAAAAGGAGGATGGACCAAGAAAAGTACTCATCTTGTCCTTGGGATGGGGAAACAGAAACTGAGAGCCAGAGCCACGTTTCCAAATGGTGAGTCACTGTCCAGGAAGTCCTTCAGCAGCTGGGAGTAAGGCGTGCCCCTGGCAGAGCCTGCAGGCAGGTGATTAGGAGCACTTGCCCAGCTTGGGGAGGAGTGGACTCGGATCAGTGGAGAAAACAGGAGGAACAGTCCTGGCAAGACAAAAATGACTTTGGCAATGGTGACAGTCAGAGCTGCTCATGGCCAGCCCAGAAAATCATCAACCAAACCACCAGTGTGGCCCTGAGAAGCAGCGGGGAAAGAGGTTCATTGTTGAGGACCTAGGATTCAGGATGAAGGAAGCTGGTTTCTTGATAGTTATATGCTGTAAACCTGGAAATCACTGAGCTATGAGGGGTTCGGGCTTTCCAAAGCATGCAGTTAGAGGCGCGTACCTTGGTGTGTTGCAAAGAAAATGTTTGTGCTCCTGGGAGAACGTGCAAAGTTTTGCATGCTCTAATTTGCTGAAACTAGATAAAGAGTAAATTAAACTAAAAAGAAAAAAATTCCACTCTAAGATAATCATCTTTTTTTAAAGGCGAGGCTGCTAACTTCCTGGCACAATTCCCAGAGGAGGAAGATGAAATGAGAGTCTGTATCTTTAAGCCATTTCAGGGCTATTTGGAGGCAGATAAAATTACTTTTGTGGACTTACATGTTTTAAAATATCTTAAGAAGAAATTCTCAGGATTTCAGCTTTTGGTCCTCCCCCTAGACAGAAGGAAGCAACTCTTGGACACTGAGGACCAACTCTGTGGATCCTGCCAAATTCTCTCCTTCCCTGAAAGGCAGCAACTCCCTCTGGAGTGGGTGGAGCAGAGGATGTAATGAGAACACAGGAGTTTACACTGAGCTGCTTTGTCAAGAGTCAGGAGGCCACTTAAACCCCAAATACAACACATGGGATTTAAGATTGTGCGAACGGTCAAGACAATCTAGGAACAAAGTACCCTGGCTCTGAGTCTTCACACAGAGATGCCGGAGGCCCCTCTCAACCAATCTCTCTCTCTCTCTCTCTCTCTCTCTCTTTCTCTCTTTTGTTCCTCCTTCCCTCCCTCCCTCTTTTTTCTCTTCCTGTCTCTCCCTTCCTCCCACCTCCCTTTCTCCCTCTCTGTGACTGTCCAAGCAGACCCTCCAGAGGAAAGTCATGAGAAAATGCTCCTTTCCTGATGTTTTCCAGGTCTACCCCAGTGCCCCAGTGATCACATGCAAAAGTGTACGAACAGCACAATAGATGTGAAAAAAGGAAAATCGTCTAAAATCCAACCACTCTAACAAGTGCAATATTTTTGTTTATCTTTACTCCCTTCTAGCCCTTGCCAGAATGCACTTCACACTTACATTTCACAGCGCTTTGATCACAGTGTATATTAATTTTACATTCTCCTTTTTTCATCGTCATTGGGGATGGTTATGAACTTTTTGCCTGGTTGCTACTTAGCCTGACAGAATGAAGTGCTGTAGGCCAAACACACTACCCCTTAAACAAGTGAGGCTCAGTGACCACCCCTTTCCCACCAACACTGCAAAGGTTCTTGTATGATTGCTTTCGTGTTACTCCTCTTCTGGTGCACACAGTTAGCAGGACCATCAGATTAAAAGCAGTCAAAAATTTTGATGATTGGTCCCAATTATTTGGGCGCTAGAAAGAAATCCAAACCATTTTTCTGTTGTGGGTAAAACAGCAAATGGATCTGAAATCTGCACTGCTCATCTTTCTGTAAAGCGAAGAGAAAATGTTACAAGTATTAGCAGCCATTCTCAGAGCTATTCAAGCTCTCACAGACAGCTTCCCACTCCCACAGTCCTCTGCTTTCCTGGTGGGTAAATGCTAGAGGAAGCACAGTACAGGACTAGGTGAATGAAGAAGATTACTTGGGTCTGGATAAGCTGTCAAAATTTTATTCCTAAAATGACTAGAATCTCCTAGAAGAATAAAGATGTGTATGTATACTTGGTTTGCTTGGTCTTGAGGAAGGCACAGCAATGAAATGAGTGCTGGTTTATAAATTTTAAAAATTTCAAGTCCCTAATGGATATACTGAGGACTATACTTTCCCATTCCTTGTCATTTCTCTTTTTTTCATTCTGTGTTGTAAACTTGAAAACTTTCATTCAACAGCATGTTGTTACTGTGCTGAAATGCAAAGCAAGTTTTTAATCTTCCCAAGGGAGAGAGGAAGGAAGGAAGGCTAAATCAGATCTTGAGTTCTAGAGCATAGGGCTTTGCTGGTCTTGCAAAACATAATTAGTACCTGCACAAACAAAGAAAGGGAAGTCTGTTTAGGGGACAGGTCAGACAGAGATGGGGGTGAAATGAGGCCTCACTACAGTAGCCAGAACAGCCCATATTTCACATTTTCTGACTCAAATATGGTCCATCTCCTAGGGTCTGAGCTTCATGAGCTGCAGAAAATGCTGGACGGCCTCCAGAGCCCACAAGACCCAACCCAAGTGGTCCAGGTCCTCCTCCTCCGCAGGGAGGTGATGTTCCTGCAGTTTGATGCTGCGGTGAGGCATCTCATCCGGTAAGGGCGGAGTGCTATTCCTGCCTGGTAAATTCTGCTGAGCAGGTGTTTGCTGAGTAACCAGCTAGGGAGGCCACTTGTGGCAAGATTAGATAGTAAGCTTAAAATAGTCAGGGGCATAACCAGATCCAGGACACTGGCTACCAAATGTGTCCTGCTGCAAACACCATCCCTGTGGCATCTGTCCTAATAGTCCTGGTTTTATTAAATGTACTTTCAAAACAGTTTATATAACCATCGCTGCTTGCAATGTTAGGTTGTTTCATTGGGAGCGAATTTTTTATACTTCTTAAGATTATTATTCCTAAGAATTTTGTTTGTTTTTTTTCAACTTTACCTTTTCAAAGACACAGAAATTTCACTATATTTCCAGAGCTAAGGGAATCAGCTGCTAGAGTTAAATTCAGAAATAAACCAATCTACCTTTGACCTTGTGGGAATCATCCTATTAAGTACGCTGCATACAAAAGAATGTCTTATTTGGTTAATTAATCATGATTCTGATGGGATTTGGATTGAGTTTGGATTAAGATTCACAATGTTTTCAGAATAAATTTTATATGGGAGGGGAAGGGAGTTGGGCCTGAGTATCTCTGCTTATTCTTAAATTGTCAAAATTCATTCACTTCTGTTGGTTAATTCCCAGTGTATTTAGACACCACAGGCATTGGGGGAGGGTCTGCACCTGTGGATTACAGCTGTTTCCCACCCTTAGCACTAGGAGTCCATCGAGAATGGAAACATAGGGATTGTACTGAATGTGCTCTATTTTTCTTTTTCTACTCTGTATTTTCTTTGTCAGGGGACTCTTAGATTTAGTATATAAATTCCAAAAAATCATGTTAATTTGTTTTCTATTTATTTATTTATTTTTGTCAGTCAGCACTGAGGTTTGAGTTCAGGGCCTCATGCTTGCTAGGCAGGCACTCTACTACTTGAACCAATCTGCCAGTTCTTTTTTGTATTGGGTATTTTTGAGCAAGGGTCTTAACTTTCATTTCGCCTGGGCTGGCTGAACCATGATCTTCCTGGTTTCTGATTCCTGAGTAGTTAGGATTATAGGTGTGAGCCACCAGAGCCTGACATTTTTATTGACAGCTTCCTGAACTGTGGCTTAGTGAAACAGGTAAAATATAAAGACTCTGACTAATTATCAAGACGGCCATTCAGTAGGCCTCTGAACACTGAAAGCCCAGTCAGGATTTTAAGGGATTTATACATGGTGTAGAAACAGGAATATCGTCCCAGCTTTGCCCAGGTACATGCTGCGGTAATGGAGGGCATCCTGTGCTATCTGCTTTCGGTATCTTTTTCAGAGGGACACACCCAGATGGCACACCCAGGTGAACCCTTCATTTGTTGGCACTTCACTCCCTTTTGTCTTCAGAGTTCTTCAGGTTGAGTGTGTTTGGAACTGCACAGCTAGTAAGCAGCAGACCAGAATTAGAACCTAGCTGTGTTTAGTTCAAAGCCCTATAACTTACGGACTCTGAGCAGCTGCATGAAGGAAGGGGACTCTGCAGAGAAGGCAAAAGGTGGGAGGAAAAAAAAGCTGAAAAATAAATGTCATCCCTCTCCATCATTTTCTGTACCACTGAACCCTCAAACAAAGGAAAGTCTTGAGTAATCAAGAGAGACAGGGAGCTTAGGGAAGTTTCTTGGACCTTCTTAGAGCTCATCAAGATTGAGCAAATAGGGCTGTTTCCCCTAGGGAACCTTCTGTTTACGTAGACTGAAGGCTTCTCCAGAGTTCGAAAAGAAAGACCTGAACTTGAACTTGGAATGAGAGCAGCACACTTCCATAGGCTGGGGTAGGGGGAGGGAGTGACGGAGGGGAAGGAGAAGAACATGGTGTGAGATCAGTGGGATAACAGGTCTGCAGAGTCTCCAGCCTTTCACTCCTCTGGCTCTCAGAAGTACCTTGAGCTCAAGCATGGTGGTGCACACCTGTCATTTCAGTACTGGAGAGACTGAGAGAGGAGGATTCCAAGTTCCGGTCAGCCTGGCTTACAAAGTGACACGCTCTCTCACTGTCTCCAAAACAAAAGGGTTAGAGGTATGACTCAAATGCTAAAGTGTTTGTCTAGCATGTTCAATCCCCAGTACCAGAAAACAAACAAATAAAAACAAAAGTACCTTGAGTGTTGCTAACAGAGGGGCCAGGCCAGAGTCCGCCATCTGAGAGGCTCAGTGGGATGACAAAGGGGCTTATGAACCACTTTCAAGATTTCTAAAGGAGTGATGAAAAAGACACATTTGCCTAGAGGCTTTGTAGGTACAGAAAATGCCACATTTCCTTTTTTTTTTCTTTAAGCTGGAATGATAAGAACAGCATGAGATATGGGAGAATGGGAACTTGGCTTTTGTTGAATTACCACCATGTGCCAATTCTGTGGGATATGAATTAGCTCACCATTTTTACAGATGAGGAAATAGAAATTCAGAGAAGTTGCGTAACTTACTTAGGCTCATGTGGGTTACTTTGTAGAACATGCAATCATACAGTCTGTCTGACTCCATAGCCTTGCTCCTTCCTTTCAACTGTGTTTCTCCATCCCTTCCTACAGCTCAGAGCTTGGACTGGAGATCAATATAAATTTGATATAAAATAGGAAAATACTTAATAAGTGTTTGGTAGAAAAATCTTTCGGAGGAAGGGGAAGAAATGAAAGAGGACCTAGAGCTAAAGATGTTGGGTGTCATCGTGAGACTACTTTGTATAGCATTAGCTCCCCAGTTCCCTAATAAGCAGTTGTGGTAGAGGGGAGGTGATGAGGAACTTGGAAAGCAAGGAAAGAGACAGTCCACTCTTTGATCAATGGGGTTGCCTCTAATCTGACTCTGGTCTCTCAGAGGGTACATCATGCTCTTTGATTCTGTAGCTTAGAGTGGCAATCACATCTATAGCTGAGCTGTATTGATAACTTTTTAGAAGGGAGAAGTACTGGGGTGTGAACTCAGGATTCCACACTCCCTTGGCAAGGCTCTATCACTTGTGCCATACCTCCAGCCCTGTTGATGGCTTTTGAATAGTCTCCAAGCATCCATAAATAAATAGACCTACTGTATGAGTTCATTTTCTGTTGCGAAACAGACTGGGTATTTAAAGTGCCTGGGAGCTTAAAGGAAGGTCATAAGCAGCTCTTCTTCACTGGGCTGTGAGAAAACACATGAAAGATATAAGAAACAGAAGAAAATGCTTGTGTATCTTTTGGGCAACTCCAAGCTCCATCCTTGAGTTATCATGACAAATCAATCGTTTAGGGTTGGAGCTGTAGCTCAGTGGTAGAGCACATCTCAGCATATGCATGGCCTTGGGTTCCATTCCTAGCACCAAAAAAAAAAAAATCATAGATCAATAGTTTTGCTCAAGGTGTCGTTTAAGTAGTAGAGCCCTTGCCTAACAAATACAAGGCCCTGAGTTCTAAAACCCAATACTGCCAAATAAATAAATGAAGTTTTATCCATTGAGTACTCAACTATTTTTGCTAATATTCATTAAAATGTAAGAAGTTTTTTAAAATTAGGACATAATAGTTGTACAGGGGGGATATATTGTGATATTTACTGTAAGGAACTGCCAAACAGAGACCACACCATGTGTAGAAAGGAAAGATTTATTGGGGCACAGACTGCTGGGCTGACTGTCTCAGGTTCAGAGTGCAGCAGCCTTTCTGCCCGCCCTATGGACGTCAGGGACCTAACATTTACATATGTGTTTATAATATATTAGATCTTAAATCTCGTTAGATTTACCCCCTGCATCAACTCTCCTTCCCCCCCAAAAAAGGGTTTATATACTAGTAAAATTGTTCCATGAACAAATATAGAGCTCCCTTTATCTGTCTTTGAACTTAAGTTTCTAAGTTCTTACTTTTGCTGATGGCAAAATATTAAACTTTCCAATGTCATGCCATTTACTCACACCTGGAGCTTAAAAGTGGTCAGCTTGGAAATTTAAAACCAGTTAATTCAAGATTCTCCCCTTTACTCTTTGTTTTTTATTATCTCCTACTCACTCTGTTGGTGAAGAAAGGGTTCTACTCTCCATTATAGTGATGGCTGAACACAGCACTCAACAGGGGAACTGATGTGATCAGCAGCAGTTTATTAGTCCCAGGTCCTCATGGCCTGGGAGAGGAGACACTGAAACATGTGGTGGGCCACTTGGGAACACAGTGAACACACAGGGGCAGAGGGAGGCAGGCTCTATAGTATCAAGAGGATGTACTACTCCCTGGTCCCCAAGGAAACTGGCAGGAAACTGAAACTGCTGCTCAGGGATAAGTGGGAAGAGCACCTAGTCCCTTTGACAAGGAGGTTGTTTGACCAGGGAAACCTGACCCTGGGGAGGAGAACTTAGGGTTAGGCTGCTTGAGTTCCGTCTGATTTTGCCAGATGTCAAGACAGACATCATAGTGGACCACATCCTCTCCTTCATGCCTCTCGAGGGAGCTAAAGAAATCATCCTGGCAGCTGGGGAGGCGCAGCCACTTTGCTCATCTCTGTTGTGGGTTAGCAGTCTGCCCCAGATCTCTGCTGGTTGGCTTCCTGTTCAGCACCCCACCTGGCACTCACCTATGGGACTCAAGTACTCCCAGGTCTGAGAGTCTACAGGTTTCTGGAGGCCACCTTGCTTCTGTCAGATTGGCATCTCCCTTAGCCATTGCTAATCTCCTTCTTTGGTGTCTGGACCATACCCATGGAGGAAGACTCAGGTCATAGGAATCTTGTGCTCTGGGACAGCCTCCCCCAGCTTATTCCTACTCAACACTTTTCCTAAGCATCCTTTAGGGCTAAACTCTAGAAACAGTCTCCTTCTTTGCTAAACTCTTATTTCCTTTTGGGCAAGAAAATCATCCTAATTTATCATGCATACCTCCTTTTCTCTTGCTTATGGTATAAATTTCATGCTCTAGTCTTCAAGATTTATGGTTCTTGATATGAAAAGCCAAGTTTTATTTAAAACAAAACAAAACCATTCTTTCTCTAACCCTTGGCTCTTATTTAATTTAAAATTTGGTTTTATATATCAAGAATTATTAGAGTTTTCCCAGAAGTGGCAGGGGGCGGGGAGGAGGGAGCCCAAATAATGTATACACATGTGAGTAAATGTAAAAACAATTAAAAAAAAAAAGAATTATTGTCCGTGCTATTGGCTTTAAAATAGTCAGTTCAAACTGGGTACCAGTGGCTCATCCCTGTTATCCTAGCTACAGAGATCAAGAATATCATGGTTCAAAGCCAGCCCGGCCAAATAGTTCACAAGACCCTATCTTGAAAATACCCAACACAAAAAAGAGGTAGCAGAGTGGCTCAAGCAGTGGAGCACCTGCCTAGCAAGTGTGAGGCTCTGAGTTCAAATCCCAGTACTGCTCCCCCCAAAAGAAAGTTCAACAAACAATTGAAATCTTTGTTCTAGAGCTACAGGTATCATATTTGATAGCCACATTTGGCTGTTTCATTAAAATTAATATTAATTTAAATGAAATAAAATTTTAAAGTTCAATTCCTCAGTCACAGTAGTCACATTTCAAGTGTTCAACAGCCACGTGGCCAGTGGCTTGTACCGATATAGAGCATTTCCATCAATGCAGAAAGTTCTATCAAACAGTGCTAGTTTAAGGGAGTTCATTGTATACCTGTCTGAAAGTATCGTGAAGAAACCCTTTATTACGTACAATTGAATGTGTGCCAACAAAAAATAAAAGCAAAAACCAAACAAACGAGAAAAAAAAACCAGTGCTAGTCTAGAATGTACCAACTTGCCCTGAGGGCTGTGAACTGTGAGAGTGAAGGGCAGTGAGTAAGGGCATGGGGGGGGTGGTGTCGTTGAGGAAGAAATCCATGACTGTCTCAAAATGTTACCTTGCTACAGTAACTTTGAAGAAAGTTTTGAGGTTTAGAAGCTTAAGTAACTGCTTTAAATGAAATCTCCCCATCCCCACCCCATGTTTTGGTAGAACATTTTTGGCAGCTGGAAACCTTCCTGCCTACCAATCTGTCACAGAAGGTGTATACCATGGGTTGCCTCCACTGAGCAACTCTCTCATGAAGAGCATTTTTGCTTCACAGTTCAGCCTGCCCCAGCCACTGGATCCACAGGGCCTTCAGGTAAGTTTTAGAGGTGTTTTATACTATAAAAGGCATGTTGTGTGTAGATTTTGTCACCTTGTTTCCATTTGCTTTAAATTTTGCAGGCATCTTGATGCTTTAATGCCTTAGTCTTCACTGACCTTCACTCACACAGGTCCACCTATTGGGCCACCATGACCACCTGTTATTCCCACTGGGACTCTTTTCTGCAAATGCTCAACAGTCTGCATGGGACAACAGCTCTTCTGCTCACACGTGGTAGCAAACCGAACACTTTAATCTTTTTCTTTTAATAAATAATGATAGCAATTATAATTCATAAATTAGGTCAATAGCTGAGTTTTGAATAGCCCTGGTTACAACATGTCTTATCAAATGCAGGCCTGGCAACTACAATTGCTCCCAGGCATAAATGACATCCACCTTCTAAAAAGGGGTCAAAGTTCAGGAAAGCCAGAGATCAGACTACTGCACAGTCAGGGCAGCACCAGGTCAAAACTTATCTATTGCTTAAGAACAAAGCTACTTCCCTGCACACACACACACACACACATTTTAACATGTTAAAAAATAAACATTTATTATCTCTCAGAGTTTCTGAGGATCGGGAAGCCAGGAGCATCTTAGATGGGTAGCTCTGGCTCATGGTTTCTCAAGAGGTGGCGATAAAGATGTTGGCCCTAGGCTGCAATCATGTCGGGGCACCTCTGGAAGAGAATCTGCTTCCAAGCTCATTCACATGGCTGTTAGCAGATGTCAGAAGACCCACTTCCAAGGTTATTCACATGGTCTTTTCTACAGTTTTCTCGCAATATGGCAGACAGCTCCTCTTGCAGCAAACAATCCCAGAGAAAGCAAGAGAGAGAACACAAGGTGGAAGTCTCAGTCTTAGTATTACCTAATTTCAGAAGTACCGTCCCATTACTCCAGCCATTTGGTTCACTGGAAATGAATCACTGAGTCCAGCTACATTCAAGGAGAGGAAAGTTAAACCCCGTCTCTTGATGGAAAGAATACCAAAGAATTTGTGGATATGTCTTTAAAATCACCTTGCAAGCCCAGGATTTTGCTTGCTTTCTAATGACTTTACAAATATTGTAATTGAGTGAAGACAACATGAAGTTCAAGCAAGGTCCTCCACTTCCATGCTACACAATAGTGACACTTGACCCAATCCTTGACCCTCATTTAGACCCAAAAGACAGAGCTGGACAATGACCATTGGGTCTGCTCTCAATGCCTTACCTATGATGAGATAAATGCAGGTGTCCTGGCTCTCTGCTACCAAAATCAGTTTAGTCTTCAGGAATGGACTGAAACCAGACCAGATCTAGAAATATAGAATGGGATCAGCTAGGTAGGCCCCCTGGATAGAGGACTGCACATGGTGTCACAAAGATATAGGAGATGCCTAACTATTGTACTGCGATGTGGAGAAGACAGAGACCCACCGACAGTAAGTTGTGGCATTGATCTTGAGTTGAACACATGGTGAGGAAGGATAATTTTTTAAGGTTCCTGATATTGAGAGCATTTAGGTAAGTCTACTTTTGTTGATGATAAATATGTCCTGTTGGTGTTGTACTGTTCTGTAACTCCTGAGTACTGGTGCTGACTGACTATTCTGAAACCATCTGCTACAAAAGCAAGCAGAGAAGAAGTAATTATTACTGCTCTCTCCAGTACATCATCAGGGATGCTCCATCAAGAAGTAGTTCTACGTAATAAGTAAATCATCCAGCAGTGTGTATGATATAGACAGAAACCCTGCTCCTATATAAATGCCTTTATCTTAGGGATACAGTACAGCACTAACATCTATTATTTGGTTCTTTTAGGCACTTGTGCTGTTTCCTTGGCGAACATTTCTGGAAGATGGAGGACCATTTACAGTCATGAGTAGCATCCCTGATACTCTTGACTATAATATGCAGGTAATGTATTTTCTCACTTGTTAGAGAGAACTGAATGCAGACTGCAAAGCAGGTGTCATTAGGTGCACAGGTCAGACCTTTCAGTGGTGAGTAATTTATGAGGTAAGCCAGGTATTTAATTATGAAGTTGTAAACCTGATGTCACAAGATGAGTCATATTTTCTTACTGTGGAAGAGAATCATGACCTCAGCAGGTATTGGCCCTGATTGTAGACTCAGCTAAAGTTCCCATGGCAGTAGTGACCTAGGGGAGAGGCCATTCATCTGGGCCCCTTACAGAATCTGCTATGCTGTCAGCTCAGAGTTGTGTGACTCCTTTCCCACTTGGTGAGAAAGGAATTTTTTAAGCAGAAGAGTTTCTTTTAATTATTTTGTCATTGTTAGTTTCTTTTAATTCTTTTAAATGGTTAGTTTCTTTTAATCATTGTATATTTAGTAAGTAAATAGTGTTATACTTTTATTTTAAAGAACACAGAAAAATATTAAGAACAACATAAAAATTAACCATAACTTTGCTTCAACATATGGCGTAGATGGGTGGGGTAAGATTGACTGTAAGTTAATGGGAATTACTTTGTTTGCTTTTGTATATTTCAAAATTTTTCCATAAATAAAATATTTTTACAGTAAAAGCAAGAATGATTTAAACAAAATTATAATCCCACCACTCAAACAATCACAGTTCACATTTTAGGTTTTTGTCCCCCTAGCATTTTTCCAAGGCATACATGTTCATATCTGTACTTTTAGAGGAAAATCAGTCTCACACTGTACATTTGCCATATACGGAATTGTGAAGGGGCTAGGAAACTTGGTTACTTCTGTAAAGAGCCAAGAGGCTAATCTGTTCATTAAGCCAGAAATGGTACTCAGTTTTTTATGGATTTTCTAATAATTGAGAGAGTGGGTCTTACAAACACAGTTATTTCTAGTTTTCTTCCTCAAAATCATATGTAAAGGGTACATAAATATCTTCTAAATGAGACAGATTTTTTTTTTAATTTGTTTGTTTTTAGCTGTGCCTCTGTGGTCTGAATGACTGTGACCGCAAGGTGGCTCATGGAGAGCTGGTGGGCGTGCAGCTGCTAATGAAAGATGTACTTCTGAGTAGCTATCATGTGGTGGTGGAAGGTTCCTCTGGACAGCAAGCCTCACTAGACAAAAATACACAGGTATTCTTGGAGAATAGTCTACATAATTGGCTGGTGCTATTGTACTGAAGAACCTTCCTACTTGGGAGATGCACTGAGTGCCACATCTTTCACACAGCTTCTCCCAGTGGGTCCCAGAACTGTACAAATGTCACATGGAAGCAGCAGTGAAGCATGGGTACCCTGTGAAAGCTACTTATTAGTCCCTCATCTGTCAAATTTCTGTTTCTTTTAAATTCAAAACTGGAACAAGGGTTATAAGGAGGTCCATTAAAACAAAATTAAATGAGCACTCCAGCTGGAAGCTTTCCATGTGAGTCACTTACTTAGGACTAGAGATGGAAGCCCCAGGTGCGCATCTTAGGCCTTCTTCCCTCACCCCTCAATTAGCCCATGGACTCTAGGGCAGCCCTCCCTCCTCTGAGCTTACCCCTCTGAAACTCTGAGGTACAGGCCACTACCTTCCTAGTGTCACAACTTTAAACTACTTCACATGTATTTGGAAAGCAGGCAAAGACATGTTGGGGTACCAGGTAAGCTATCTGAAGCCCCTACTTAAAAAGCCTCCTCATCAGAGCCCAGTTTTCTGAGAGACACCTACATCTGTCATCTGAGCTTCCTTATCACTCTATCCACTCCTCAAAACACCGCACTTTGTCTTCTTTCCCTTTTTACCACTAAAACCGCTCCCATCAAGAGCACCAGGGTCCTAAATTCCCCAGACACTTTTCAGTTCCCTACATACCTGACCCCTTGACAGCATTTACACAGAGCATCCTTCTTGGAGGGCAGCACGACTGTGCTAGCTTTCCTCCACCGTTGCTGACACTCCTTGCAGACTCCTCTGTAGGGTCCTCTCCCCCTGCTGGTCCCCCAAATGATGTGGTTTTCAGATTCTCTCCTCCTCCAACTTCTACTGCCAGGACCACGTTTTGACTATTTCCAAAGGCTCTTGCACTTTTGTCTTTATTGGCCCTTTTCTCCATAAAAACAAACAAACAACAACAACAACAACAACAAAAACCCAGTAAAAGTTACATTCTATAATTGTGTTAGTATAAAGAAAAATATATTAATATCTATACATTAAAGCAGTTTATTTGATCTAAAAATTCCTTTTTTCTGATTTTAAAATATATTACAGCTTTTTGTATCTTTTTTATATTTGTTTCTTTTTTATTAATTTTTTAAACATTTTATTAGCATATATTAGTGTGTGGGGGGGGATCATTGTTATTAAAACTTTTTTGTGGGCCCTGGACACTTGTGCCTAAGCCACAGGTCAGCCCTGAGTACTGTCAGTGCCACTATTGGCTGAGCTAAAGTCTGTTCAGAGTGCTCTATATGTATTAATTTATTTAATCTTCACAATAATTCCATGAGGTTAGTGCTTTCATTACTCTTATTTGTTTATTTGCTTGGAGACAGGGTCTTACTGTGTAGCTAGTCCAGATAAGCCTTGAACTCTCAATCCTCCTGCTTCCCTCTCCCAAGTCAGGGTTACAGGTGTGTGCCACCACGTCCAGTTTTTATTACTCGCATTTTATAGATGAGAATCCTGAGGTTCATAAAATAAAACATGAGAGAAAAAGAATCTTTCTTCTTAAAGAGGAAAATCTTTTCTGGAAGCTTCCAATAGATTTTCTTTGTGTTTCCTTGGCTAAAACTGAGTCAAAAGTCTACTTCAGTTCAATCGGTGGAAAAAAAAAAACTCGAAACAAAACAAAACATGAGTTTATATATATCATCTGAATTCTACAACAGAATTAGAAGCTTTACCCAGAAGGATCATTGCAAAGCCGGTGTAGACCAAGTTGTGCCAAGAGTAACCATGCTGGGCCCTATGGCTCCTCTATTTGCTACTTTTGGACCTGTTTCTGATGAATTATACCCTTTTTTGACACCGTTCCTTCCTTTATTTTATCCTTTATCTTGTCTCCTGTTCCTTCTCCTATCCTTTGAAACATTTGGGTAGAGAAGACTTCTTTTCACATGAACATATTAACAAGTAAGTTTGCTTTAACTTTATTTATTTTAGTTTTATTTTATGATGTGTTTGTATTTAGGAGTACTGCACTATTCATAGACAACAGGAAACTGTGGAGGTTATACTGCCCTGTGATTCAGGACTCCTGGGTTTCTATCCCAGTTATACCACAAGTGCTCTGATCTCTCTAGGCCTTGGTCTCCAAACCTCTAACGTGAAGGTGACAGATTAGCCCAGGGCCTTTAAAATTGTTTGAATCCTGAGAGACCTCTTGAAGTCTATTGAGCAGAGAGGGTGGGTCACTTATGTGGCCTCTTGACTGCCCCCTTCATGTCACTGTTTTTTTACTTTGATTTGTTGGATATTTGCCCAAGATTTCACTTGATGAAAGGGTTCTGAGGATAAAATAAAATCTGGAAATCCATGAGCTAGCTGATTGCTGAGGAGGCTGCATGGCTGAAGGACTGCCAGCTGTCCATGGGTGCTCACTCTCCCCTGAGTCTGGATACCAGCCCTCCTATGGACACTAACCAACCCTCTCTCTGGCTGATAATACCTTGCTTTAGCTGTATGAATAGCACCTGATCTAGGATCCAGTTCCACCAGGTTGTTTTTCCTGTTTCTAGCCAGGAAACCTGAGTGTCTGAAGTACAGTCACCTGAATGTTCTCGGATTTAAATAATGGAATTTGTTGTCTGGTCTGCAAAGGAAAGTTCCTTCCTTGTTATTGAGATGCTGGTCAGGCTGTGGTTAGACTCTAGTTCCCATTTTGTCTATCACTGTCTTGGTGGCCCTGTCCTTCACACTGCTGACTGCAGGAGAACAGGGACCTGAACCCTTTGCTACCTGTACATCCTCCAGGACAAATACTTATCTAAGGAAAGAATCAGTGAACAAATGAGCAAATCATAATGTTTAAAGTAAAATTGCCTATTGAATAATATGTTCAAATAGAAAGAACAGTTCTCTGCTTTATTTTCAAAGGATGAGAGAACGAACAGGAGGTAGGATGCACTATAAATTTCCATTTCCTTACTCATGAAATGGGTAAAATCTCCAATGAAGTTATATTATAGCCCACCAGGGAGGGTTGGGAAGATTGAAATCTCAAGTGAGGACTTAAATGTCAAGAGCCCTTTCCAGAATGCAGAGGTTAAACAGCAAAGGCTGTTTTTAAAACACAGGTTGAATGTTAGCATGCCAGTAAAAGAGTAGTTTTTAATGAATGGTTCAAGACCCAATCAGAAAGCTGAGACTGAGATATTGCTCTCCTTTTTGTACATTGTCTATTTGGGAAGGATGCCTAACCTCTCTATGCTCTGCATGTGCCTGTAAATCATTCCTCTTGAGGAGAAAATTTGTTCTCAAAAGAATGTTTTGCATGGGTGCACATAAAAAGTATTGGCCCACAGTCAATAAAGATCAATTTCTATAGTGCTTTCAGCCAGATTGGTCCAAACTGCTGGGATTCAGAAGTCAATTCCAAAGCAGCCCAAAGGCCTCTACCCTGTTGGAGAGCCAGTGCGATGCCATGATGTCCTTCACTCTGCTGAGATCCTTTCTGATTCTGTGGAAGCAGCTGGAAGTGCTGAAGGAGCACTGGGGCCGGCTCAAGCTGCAAGGCCAGGACATCAACTCCGTCTCCCTCCACAAGCAGTTCTCGGAGCTCTATGAGTGAGTGTGACTGAGACAGAAATTCCTATCAGAGAGTACAGCCTCATGGGCGGCAGCTCTGTCCCTTGCTTGGAGGGTGAGAGTTGTCCATGAATCCCAAGATGCTTTATTAGTTAGCTAATAAAATATTCGACAAAACAACTTAAAAGGAGGAAAGATGTATTTGGTTTGCAGTTTCAGAGGGAGCCATCCATCACAATGGAGAGGGCATGGTGGACCAGAGAGTTCACAACTTGGCAGCCAGGAAACAGAGACAACAGCAAAGTGGAGACCCAGTGTAACCTTCAAAGGCATGCCCTCAGTGACCTACTTCCCGCAATGAGGCCCCACCCGCAAAGTTTATGCAACCTCCTAAAATAGCACCGCCAGCTAGGGATCTAGGATTTAACACATGAGCCTGAAGGGATATTTCATATTTAAACCACTACATATATTTAGCTCCATTGAGTCTAGTACAGCAGCAATATTCTCTACACATATTGCTGTCAGGAAAAACGGGGTTGTCTTAACTGCAGGGGCAGAGCTAGTGTCCACTGAGCTGTGCCATAATACCTTTTACCTGTCTCTAAAATCTGTCCCTCACAACCTGAGCTTATCAAGTGACCCCACAGGGCTAATTCTAAGCTTTCTAGCTCATAGGATCCCAGAAATCCCTGGAAGGAAAATTGCTGCTGCCAGGGACAACTCCTCACCCTGCCCCTGTAACCCTAATGCTGAGACTCTGAGCACCTGAGGTGGTGCGGCCACAGGACAGCATGGCACATGCAGCAGAGACTTTAGATCTGTGGGATGGTACTGCCCTTGGCTACAGGTCTCAGCTGCAATGACTTAGCTGGCAGGAAAGGCACGCTGCTTTTGCCACATGTCTGTTATCAAACGAGCCCTTGCAAAGCCCCATCTACCACCCTGGACCTCACAGGGCTTCAGAAGGTTCACTCTGGCATAGTCAGAATTCTTTATCTGGTGAAGTTATTATAACCAGTATTCCTGGTACCTAGGGAATGAGAACACTTGTCAATATTTTGAAGAATAAAGACTGAAATTTTATGTACTCAATGGGAAAGGGCCTCAGGATTTAGTATTGACCGAGGGAGAGGTAAATCTAGATGTTGACGTGTCCGTAAATGGGTTGGGAGGTTGTACATGTTGACAGGAAACAGAAAATGAATCAAAATAATTGTCAGAGAATCAGAATGAGGAAAAAAATATGTTTGCTAATTTCCATCTTTCTTCTTTGATAGAGCTGATATTTTCTACCCCAGCATGAAAGCGCTAGCTAAGCAGATGGGGAAAGAAGACGAATTTGAAGGACTTATAATAAATAGTCAGTCCATTCTTCCCCCCAAAGGAGCTTCAGAAATTGAAATAAAAACTCAGCAGGTATGCAGGAGCTGTTTTAAATTTGCCTTTGAAAGCTTGTTTTATGGCAACAGCAAGTAAAACTACAGATCTACCCAAAGGGCTTTATTCTAAGGAGTTCTGTGCAAATCAAAGGGTTGTAAATCGTTGAACAAGTTGGGGTGAGGTGAACAGGGGAGGGAAGAATTTAAAGGTACATGAGGAGCTTGAGTAGGCAAAGAAGTACCCCTTAATGTCTCAGTTCTGTAAGTTTAGATTTTCATCATTTTTATTTTCCTCAAATTGAAGTGCTCCAGCATAAGAAACACGATAGAAAACAGAACTACTAATATCTTAAACATAAAATCCAGCACACAGAGGAAATGCTCAATATAGCACCTGGTAATTGTTTTCCTCAAAATAAGAAAGTGAAATGTATGCACTAGCCCACTTGGTGTGGCATGTGATCTGTGTGGAGAACTTGTTTGTCCCCGGTCTTTGTTTGGCTTGGTCCCAGGACCCAGGTTCCCTGTGGCTGGGCTTACTGTAGCAGGCAAGCAAAGCTGATGGATGTTTGGTTGTCAATTCAGAGAGGTGCATCCACTGAGTAACATGGAGCACTGACCCCTACACATGCCCCACGACCAAGTCCATTGCTTATCCTCTGACCCTTGATACTTCTCCAGCACCCACCTGCTCCACCAACTGGGAAAAGGGTAGAGTGAGCCTCATGGTTATTGGAGCAGAGTTTTCTCTTGGTTGTGTATAGAGCTTTAAATTTTCTCATGAAATCTCTCTTGAGATCTCAATTGTTTCAAACCTGAGGGTTTCTCTTATCAAAGTGACAGCTCACAAAATTCCTGGCCATATTTTGAGATCCCAAAAGACATGAGGCTTCCCAATATTGCAGAACTTGATTTTTAAAAAGGGGTTGTATTTTATCAATCGGAATGTGGCCCAGATAGAAAAGATGTTGGTCTCCAAAGAGAAATATTTACCCCCTCAAAGCACTGGGAGTCCAAGAAAGGAACCCCTCCTTCTTTCTGGGGACAGAATAGCTGAAGCCAAAACCCTTCTGTAGGAATTGGACTTGGGAGCCCAGAGGAAAACTAAATGCAGAGAGTAACTCTCAGCCTATGCTTACTCCAGCTTCGGAAACTTCTGGAAAATCTTGAAATTCATATGATCCAAGAGGTGTTAAGAAAAGTTAATAGAGAGATGACACTGGTTTTATCAGAAAAGTCCAGTCAGGAATGTACCCTCCCAACAGGTAAGCATGTTTACTTTACGACTTCAGAAAATAACATTTATTAGGTTTTTTCTAATTATAAAAGTAGCCCACAACAAAACAAACAAACAAGCAAGCAAACAAAAACCCTACAGTAATATAAAAGTTACCTTTTACATCTTGTAGAGAGAACTACTACTAATACTTTGGTATGTTTTCTTCCATTTAAAAGGCTTGTGTGTGTGTGTGTGTGTGTGTGTGTGTGTGTGTTATTTTCTTATAAGTGTAGATTGTATAAAATAAGGGGTTTTATTTTGACATTTTCATATACATATGTAATGCACCTTAGTCATATTTATCCTCATTACCTTCTTTCCTTCCACTGGTCCCATTCTTCTTTCCAAATAGTACCCCTTCTGTTTTCATGTTTTTTTTTTTAATTTAGATTCTGTATATGATAGAAAACACGCAGTATTTGTCTTTCTGAGTCTGGCTTATTTTGTTACCATTATGATCTCCAGTTCTGTCCTTTTCCTGCAAATAACATGGTTTTGTTCTTCTTTATGAATGAATAAAACTCCATTGTGTATATATACTGCATTTTCTTTATCCATTCATCCACTGTTGGGCACCTAGCTGATTGTATAACTTGGCTATTGTGAATTATGCTACAATAAACATGGGAAGGCAGGTATCTCTATTGTATACTTATTTTAATCCCCCAGATATATACTCTGACATAACTGGATCATATGGTAGTTCTATTTTTAGGTTTTTGAGGAATTGCCATATTAATTTTCATAGTGGCTGGATTAATTTATATTCCCACCAATAAAATATAAGGATTCATCTCACTCTACCCTGCCCCCCAATCCTCACCAGCATTTTTCCTTTTATGCTTTCTTTATGATAACCATTCTGAATAGGATGAGGTGGGATCTCATTGTAGTTTTGATTTGCATTTCCCTGGTGGTAAAGATGTTGAATATTTAGCCAGGGCACCAATAGCTCACCTCGGTAATCCTAGATACTTGGGGGGCTGAGAGGATCCTTAGTTCAAGGCTGGCCTGGGGTAAATAGTTTGTGAGTCCCCATCTCCAAAGTAACCAGACAAAAATGCACTGGAGGTGTGGTTCAAGTGGCAGAGTGTCTGTTTTGCAAGTGCAGTGCCCTGAGTTCAAATCCCATTCCCACCAAAAAAAAAAGTTGAACTTTTTAAAATTTATTGGTGATTATTGTAAATAATCACCATTATTTATTGGCAATTTGTCCTTCTTGTTTGGTTCAATTTGGTTCAATTCATTTGCCCATTTATTAATTGGATTATTTCTTCTTTTGGTATTTAATTTTTTTAGCTCTATATGTTTTGTAGATACTATCCCTTTTGGAAGAATAGCTGGTAAAGACTTTTTCCCATTCTGTAAGGTATCGCTTCACTCTGGTAATTGTTTCCTTTGCTAAACTGAGCTTTTTAATTTGAAGCAATCTCATTTGTCAATACTTGTTCTTATTTCCTAAGCTATGAATCTTATTCAGAAAGTCCTTGGCTATGCTTATATGGTAAGTGGTTTACTACAGTTGTTTCAAAGTTTCAGCTCTTTCATTAAGGTCTTTCATCCATTTTGCATTGATGTTTGTACAGGGTGAGAGAGAGAGCGAACGATCTTCTACATGTCTTCTACATGTGAATTCCAGTTTTCCCAACACAATTTATTGAAGAGGCTACGTTGCTTTTTTCCAATGTTTGGTTTTGGCAACTTTGTCAAGAATCAGATGACTATAGTTCTGTGTGGTTTTATTTCTGGGACCTCTATTCCATTGGCCTGTGTGTCTTTCTGTGTCTGTACCATGCTGTTTTTGTTAGTATGGCTCTGTAGTATAATTTGAAATCAGCATTGCTCTTTTTGCTCAGGATTAATTTGGCTGCTTGCAGTCATGTGAACTATTTCTTTTTCTCCTCGTCCTCCTCCATTTTTTGGTGATACTGGAATTTGAACTCAGGGCATCGTGCTTGCTAGGCAGGCACTCTACCACTTGAGCCATTGTCCCAGCCCTTCCATGTGAATTTTAGGATTGTTTTTTCTATTTCTGCGAAAAATGACATTGGTATTTTGATGGGGATTGGATTGAATTTGTAGATCACGTTCAGTAATATGACCGTTTTTGAGGGAAATTAAGAAACATTTCCAGACTTAGGAATTAAAATAGAACCAACAAGTAAAAACTGAAAAATCAGAGCAGCAAACCCATCACCCTCTCTGTAGGTGAGAGAGAACAAGGGCAAGTCAAACTTAGGCCGCTAGTCTCCATGTTTTAGAATAATAACAGAACCTATCTTGGCTATATTTGGGGTAATTAACCACCCTAGACCTATTGCCTTTCCAGTGCTTGGAAACTTAGCAAACCTAGTGGCGATTCAACATGAAATCCCCCAGATGGACACCCCAGACAAGACCCACCCTTTCGAGTCCTCTTTACTCCCATTTCCTGCATGTAAATTACAGGAAATCTTTCTCCCTCCCTTTCCTATTTGTCTCTACTTTATCCAGTTTTACTAAAATAAACCCTTGCCTAAAAAAAAAAAAATTCACTTTGTGAGACTTTCTTCTTTGTGAAACCCATTTGATGCTTTTCACATGGATCCTGTTCCTAAAAATTGCATGGAAAGTGGGATGCTGAGGCGACCCTGCCTCCTTCTCTTCCTGCAGTAACATTTTCACAATATTAATTCTACCAACCCATGAATGTGGGAGGTCTCTCCATCTTGTGCTGTCTTCCTCAGTTTCCATGTTTTCTCTTATAGTTTTCATTATAAAGGTCTTTCACCTCCTTGGTTATGTTTATGCTTAGGGTTGTGTGTGTGTATTTTTGCTCTATTGTGAATGGTTTTTTTTCCTGATTTCTTTTTTCAGCATGTTCATTGTTGGTATATGGAAAAGCTACTGATTTTTGTCTGTTGATTTGGTATCCTGCTACTTCACTGAAAGTAACTTTCAGATCTAAGACTTTTCTAATGAAGTCTTTAGGATCTTTCAAATACAAGATTACATTATCTGAAAACAGGGATTCTTTGAATTCTCACTTTCTTATATGTGTCACTTTTATATCTTTCTCTTGCCTTATTGCTCTGGCTTAAGCAGGGTCTCACTCTGTAGCCCAGCCTGTCCTTGAACTCATGATTTGCCTGCCCAGCCTACTGAGTGCTGGGAGATACCTGGCTCAACTTCTCTACCCCTGACCAGGACACTGCCTGGGTCTGGTAGCTGCTAGGTCATGTACATTTATGCATGAGTCACACACGGGGCCACAGGTGCTAATGAGGGTTTCCCTTGCCAGGGAGTGTAAGATTAAGCAAAGAAAAACACTATGACAGGTCAGGAGAGTGATTGTGAAAGAAAGGAAAAAGCTTTATATTTCAGACTTGTGAAAGTATTTTTTCCTGCTTTTTTGAACAAGAGGCCCTGCATTTTCATTGCATCAGATTCTTCAGATTTGTTGCTGGTCCTATCTGAACTACAAATATCTACTCCTGACTCCTAATAAGTCTACAGGAAAGCCTACAATCTGAGTTAGGGAAGAGTTGCCTAACTAGCAAAACAAGTTAGGATTTCCTTTTGAGACAAATTCCATGGACATTAGAATGTTAAATACAACTGTAATCCTCACCTAAGACATTATCTTTTTTCCCTCCACTGCCTGTATAAAGACTTTGACATTTTATCAGTGTTTAGAGAAACTAAGTTCCATAAACAGGACATTGGGAAAAGACTGTGTAATGAGAGCGCTAACCATGGCCCTGCCAGGTCTCTAAAGATCACCAGAGAGCTGAGTGTGATTGAGTCCAGTCACAGAACATGACACTGGACACAAAGGTCCTGTTGTTTGTTCTGTGTTTGCTGTATCCAGGAGGCTCCCTTCTGAGTCCTTGAGGAAAATCCAGAAGGACATGGCAGGTGAAACCACATGCACGTTTCAGGTTGTGGTTCTAATTTTTGGCACACCCTGTGGGGTGAGGACAGCATATTTGCTTTGTGGTTGGGCTGACTTGTGCAGGGTGCCTGTCAGCTGTGCTTCAAAAGCATGGAAAGGGACAAGTGGGGGTCAAGCAGAGAGGAGGCATAGAATTACTTTTAACATTGGTCAGATTGACATTATTAAACCTCACCTTGCTTGGGGTGTGCTAATCAGTTCTAAACCCATTTGGGATCCTCTATTTACAGGACTTTGAGAATAGGTTCTGCTGGGCACAGTGGTAGAGCTCTTGCCTAGCAAGCACAAGACTCTACATAGCAATAAATAAATAAATAAAGTGTGAATATTGAGGGGGTTTTATTGTTGTTGCTGCTTTGGTTTGGTTTTGTCTTTTGGGCTGATGGGCCTGACTCAATGGGGGAGGCCTGAATTTCCTCTTCTGCTGAGTTCTCTAGTGCAAGCCACTGAGTCCCCACTGTGTGCTTCATGTACATTTCTTCAGTATGGTTGACCTCTGTGGTCTGGGTACCATTGAAGAAGGCATTCAAACCTCGGAATCCCTACCTACCTTGTTCATCTTAGCAGCAAGAAGGAGTGGTGGACAAGGTTTCCAAGCAGGGGCCACTTCTGCAGACATTAGCCTTTTTGGTCAAGGTTAGCCTGGGCTGGTGATTTCCCCAGGGAGAATTGGGATTGGAGATTAACAAGCAGGAGACAGTAGAGGCTCTCCTCTTTTCTCTCAGGGTCTTTGCTTCCCCTGAAGTCTGACTTTGGTGTCTACCTTTAAACCTGCCAAAAAGGAACCCTTGAATCCTTCTCTCCCTCCCTCCCTGCTGTATGTTGGAGGTTAATCTTTAGATACAGTGTCTGAGCGAGTTTCTGGTTTGGCAGGGAGGCTCAGGTGGCATCCACACTGGTCCTGCTAGCTGAACTAGGGTTCCTGTGGGTGCTGTCCACACTCCTCTGGACATCCTTGTTCAGCCTCAGGGTTTTCCATGTCAAGAAATGGTCTCTACCACCCACAGAGTGGGAGAAAATATTTGCCAGCTACACATCAGACAAAGGACTGA